CTTGATTTTAATCTGTATGTGTTCATGTCATTCTTATATTATCGCTATTTATTATTATATTTGTTCATCAGTGTATTTATTTCCTCGATTTTTATTTATTTCAATAATTGTAAATGCTTAATATTTGAGAAATCTGTTTGACTTTCTGCACATTGTAAATTACATAGAAGCACATTCCAATTTCATGGCATACTTTCGCCATCTAGTGTTGAAAAACGTATATTATTATTAGACCATAAGTTGGATCTCCCTTCAAAGTAAAAACCTACCAAAACGACTAAGCATCGATATTTTTAAGCATTGCTTTTGCTTTGTTTATTGGAAACTGAATGTATGGTAAGACAAAGTGAACACTGAGATCAAAAAAATGCAATGCAACTGTACTGTACCTTTTTCTTCTTAACCAATAACAGCTGAATGCAACCAGGAAGTGACACTGAGCAAAAATGCAACATCATTCAGTGAACTGAATGTCAGATTCTGCTTTGCATAGCGTGCCACAAGAAGAGTGCAACAAAAATCAAAAATCCACTTTGTCAAGATGTCTTTTTTTTAAATATAGATATTAAACTGCCTTCTGTGCACACACTTTGGAGTGTGCATATAGTATGTGCCTAAATGTATATGAATCCATAAAAATATACGAGTACTATGTTTTGTGGTAGGACAGTATTATGTGGATGGTGTCTAATTTATTATACAGTACAATTATTTTCATAGGAGGAAACGTTCCTGATGACTGTTTAAATACCGTTGTCTCAGTAGCTGTAATCTCAGAGTCAGGTTTTGAAATATCACGACTGAGATTGAAGTCTGGTGTTTATTTTAACTTTTGCTAGCATGGAGAGGGGGAAAAAAGGAAGGAGTGAATTAAAAAAAGCAAACATCTCCTCCTGTTTTATCTTAAACTGCTTACAAGCCTTAACATTTCAACTAGTCTTACAGTTTGAATATTCTTGTAACGCTTGGGGCAGATTTGAATAGTAGCTATTTCAAAACCGAGCTGACTACCACTACAACTCATATTTCAGTTTCAATCATTAAATGCAAAAAAAAGGAAAAAAAAAACAAAATGAAAACATAGACAAATGATAGTTGTTGGCTAATCAGTTGTTTGTTTGCATCAATTGCACTTTTGTATTTAAAATTATTTTGTATTTTTAGTTCACCACACTGCCCTTGACTTCAACAAAAAGAGGGAAATGGGACACTGTAGTCGTATCACCGTACTACACACGTCTCAATTTTAAGTTAATCCCAAGAGCAAAATGACACAATAATTCATTTGAGCAATACATTTTTAATTTCCGCAAAGAAAAGTCAAAGACATGTAGCCTAGGACCTTTCGAAGAAACATAAAATGTAACAGCAAAAAAGCCAAATTACAGAAAAATGAGACCCTATTTAATCCAAATACTTCTTAATCTTTTAAAAATTTGAATCACATTATTTAAACCTAACAATCGTTAATTTATAATTTATTATATTTAATTCCTATACCACACATTGTTTGCTCAGGAAGTTTTGTGAATAATATTTATTTTTTCCCTGTTAGTATTTGATGTTTTGTATTGTGAAATGCTTTTTTGTGGAACGATATTAGTATGATATGAAATTGTATTGTATTTTCTTTTCTTTTACATTAAAATGTAATGCTTTTTTCAGTTGAAGTAGTTTGTAAATTGAAACTTCCTATTACTTTTACTATTTCATAATAAACAGATATGCGCTGTGTTGTACAGTTTGTGTATGGTAGAAATAAACTTTTCAAATGGTTGTGTGGTTTCTCAGAGCCTCAGTCAGTCAAACGTAAACCCAGTTACCCCACAAGTATCAAATAAGGTATCAAGTTCCCTTATGCATTAGCATCACCTTGTGGTAAACTCGAGGTATTACATGTAGAGTAACAGGGAGTGGTCAACAGTAGTCAAGATGCTAAGAGCTGGGGTTAGAAATCAAAACAAATGGGTGTATTGGTGGCTTAAAGGTTTAAGATGCTGCCTGTGTAATTGCAGTGTGTCGGGTTCAAGTCCTGCCGGTGACCCTTGTTGCATCTCTCTCTCTCAAAAAGTACTTGAAATAAATCACAATATAGTGCATAATACAACCTTCCTTTATATATTCAATTTAGGACATAATCTGCCAATTATTTTCTGGATTATATGATTCATTATTTGGTCTACAAAATGTCGGATATTTACTTTAACATCAGCGTTCACTTATTAAAGTGGTTGATGATTGAATTTCTGTCGATCGACTAATGGATTCATCGACTAATCATTCCCTTTCTTATCTAGAAAACTTTATTACTCAACAACATATGAATAACATGCTGCCACAACACTAACACACAAACAGATATTTAAAGAGGATATTAGTGTAGCTCAGCTCTCTGCTTAAGCACTAAATGAAAAAGATATTCATCTAAGTCAATAATATAATAAATAAAGGTATAACCGAATTTGCTACACCTGATAACGGCACCAGTAAAAGTGAAATTAACATAAAAGCTTGCAATACTTACAAATAATGTCAACAAACACAACCCATATCTCAGGAAATGAACAATTGTCACATCATTCAAAAGTTTCACAGCTGAGCACACAGTCACCCTAAACCGCTCACACTTTCAAAACTAATAAAACCACCAAAAGTTTGGTTTGAAACCTTTTCTAATGAATCAGGATTCAAACCCAGTTATAAAACATCTAATAAACATCCTAATCCTGTTTCTACACTCAGCAGTTGTTCTCTTATAATGGTGAAAGATGCACAAAAATTGTCCAAAACACATTTAAATCTCTGTATCTTTGATGTATGAATTAGCTTTTACTTTAAGTGATAAATTACAGTCAGCACATGCAAGGTGCCCCTGAAACAAAGGCAGTGAATTATAATACGCCACAGTCTTAATTGGTGGTGCAGCAACAACGCAGCATTTAAAATATGAGACTTAATGCTACCACAAACATTTCCGTCGCCTCACACAGGGCGGCTGACTTCCTGTAATGTAATGTATATGCTGTGTGTGCAGACTGTGAGAGTGCCGGTGGTGGGGCACAGATATATAAAGTACCTTGACAGCCACATACACACTCTTGGGCTGAGACCTCAGCTAACCTTGCGGTAGTAAACAATGTGTGATTATGAAATGTTTGGTTTCATAGAAGCAAATGAGGCCAAATCCAGAATCCTGCTTTTGTGTGTTGTTTTAGTTTTTTAAGGTAATAAATATTTTAGGCCTCAGCTGCTGTTGAGGACACCGGGGGGTCGTGTCCTCATTCAGTACTATAATGACCTCAGGAGGAGTTCAGACAAGTTACTGTACACATGATATGTTTTGATGTATTTCTGGCAGTGTGGATATAATGATGGAATAAAATATGAAACATTTTAAGCTCCTTTTCTGATGGTTAGTGAAAACTTTGATACAGGGGGTGAGACTCCTGACCCCACTGTTTCTAAAACCCCTGGCTACGGCCCTGGTTTCATGTATCATATACTAATTATGACGCTAAAAACAGACCATACTTGGGGTGGAGACGCTGAGATGCTGTGTGATTCGTCAATCAGGCCTGTTATGGCCTGCGTGACACGGCTAATGACCCTCGGATGAGAAGGATGGGAAGGTGGAAGTATTGAATTACTAGAAACTTGAATGAACCCACGTTAAAACAATCTGCAACTTCGTGTATTTAGGGCTCAATACCTCGCTGTTAAGCAATAAACACACCGACCGAGGAAGTCAACAGATACCTCACTTCAGAGGACAACACAGCAAAAAGCGGTCACGTATTTTACCACAAAAAACATTTACGGTCAAATAAAGTGAGATCAAAACATGCTGTTCCCTCCAGAACGATCGATAATTGATTCATATTCTTCTGTATCAACTATCCGTGCTGTGTTTGTAGAAAAGTAGAAGTAGACGTTCAGCTTTTAACTGCGTCTCTAAAACACCTGCACAGCAAACACACTGAAAACAGGAGATAAATGCTGCTTTGGTTTGAATAAAACTAATAAATAACAGGTAGTATAATCAAAAGACGAGGTGAACGGGGTCCCTGAAACCTCAGCCCAGACCTGCGTGCGTCTGCTGACCATTACTGCTTCCTTATTAAACCTGGTGATCATCCATTCCCACACTTCCAGAACAGGCCAGAAACCAGCTGCGGGCTAAAATTAGGCTTTTCCTTTAGGGAACTGTGTGAGGTTACAAGGTGGGTGAAGCTTTCCACGATCTTTCCAATTTTGTACTCTCTTGTTAAAGGAAATTATAATGAGCGGCGGAGCAGCCATTTTATTCCTGAACTATTTCTTTGTCTGGATGTTTTTAGTCAACCTTTATCTGCAGATAGATAGATAGATAGA